TAATTAGTTTAAAAGAAGAACTACAATTAATAGTAAATGACAACCATAAAGACGAAAAGTATAATCTATTTAAAAAAAATGGAATTCCAAACATATATTGTTAAAAATGTGACAATAAAACATATAATTACTTTTTGTAAATAATAAAAGGCAACTTTTGAACTTTTGACATAGCATTCCAGAAACTTCTCATTAAATTGGAGAGCAGCTTTAATCAGACATTCCCAAAGACAAAACCATTACAAACTGCCCCATCTTCCATTTACTATTTTTTAATTTTTTTTTCTATTTTATTTTGATACATTAAACATTAATTTTACTATATTAGAAAGCATTTGATTCAATTTTTTTAAAACTCATTTTTTATGCATGAAGTACTTTATATTAATGTATATTACTTAAAATTCAAGATTACAAGTAATTGTACTTAAATACAAAGTTATTAAAGCTTCATGTTTGAATTTGTATAACTAACTTCAGATAAACATAATCAAATTGAGAATAAACATTTTATTCTAAATATAAAAAAACTAAAATATAATTAGGATAATCATTAAATTCTAACAAAATACTTAATTATTAACTTTATAAAAAATTATATTATTAAACCAAAAATAAAAAAATAAATTAAAGAAATACATAAAAAAAGAAATTTTAAATAGTTAGTCTGATACTAATATCAGTATTTTTTTTTATGATTTATTCATATTTATATTTTATTCAAAAATAAAAACATTAATGTTTTCTCAAAACCACATAAAACCGAATTATAACATCGACTAAGACAAAAAAAAAACACTAAAATCAAGATGTATCTTGCTGCATTGTGCAAGTACCCTTCTAATGTAATATAAATGTATTTAAAACCTATTTCTTAATTATTTTTTCAGAAACTTATTTCCAAACCTTGCGTTTGATGTCTACAATAAAAAAATCTTAAAAACTAAAGCTTAACATATTTTTCAAAATAATTTTCTGCTTAAAAATTACAATAAATTCGAACTTTTAAAATTACTTTAATTAGTCTAATACAAAAAGCGAAACAAATTAGTTTAAAGTAAAGTATAAATTTGGTCCATATATATGCTTTGTCCGTTATAACACTTTTCGTCTCTACACTTTCGAAACCATTGTAATTTATAAAAGTGTCCGGATTTGATCCATTTCCCTAACCAACGTTAAAAAACCTCTCAAGTGATGGGGATTTCGGTTTTGTTCATATTTTTTTTTTGTCATTTTTATTAAATATTTTATCCGTTCTTCATTGATAAGCCATCCCCAACCCCTCCTCATTTTCATCTCCGGTTAAATCAATAACACCCTGACTCAAATTATCTCTTTCGGTACCACCATCATCCACCACCAAGACCATAACTACCACCATTTATTTTGGTAAGTGCTTATCGGTTCAATTACCTTACAAGATGAACATAACAAGGACCAGAAATCTTACCCGGTAAAAGGAAAGACAACGATTGAGAGTGTAACTGGTAAGTGAGGGTGATGACTCTTACCCGGTAAGTGTTTACTAAGTTATAAACGTTTGCCATCAATCCAATTTGATGGTCAAGAATGTTATCCCATAAGGTAAATGAGAATAGTGACTTTTACCAGTAAACGTTTACTCGATAAGCGTTTAATAAACGACACCTTAGTAATTTTTTAAAAATCTTTACGTTTACTTTATAATACGTTTCATTTTTTCTCATAAACTTATTGTATATTTTCTGAGTTCACAATTTCTTTTTATTAGTTCACAGTTATTGTTTGAAAAGAGTTTTCTAAAAATTTATAGTGAAATAAAACATATTTTACAACAATACAATTTATTTTTTATTAGTTCACAATCACTGTTTACTTTTTCTAAACTGAACCTTTTAACATACGTTAGCATGCTCAATTACACTTCCTAATCAAAGGCTAATTTGTACGATTGGTGACTTTGGATGTGTAGAAAGTTATTTCAATTTTGATCTTACTAGAATCGATTTACTGTAATTGGGCATCCAATTGCAGTGGTTTAGATCAGATCCAAATTAGATTGATGTGTTATTGAATGACTAATGGGAGTAGCTAAAAGACAAAATTTTTGAAGCTTGGTGAACACTTTTGAGAAGCCTTTCATGGATTACAACCGGAAATAGTTATCTTACGGTTGCTTTTAGCTTTTTGTCTTATTAGTTGACTTTGTTTGTATTTTGGACACGATGGTTTAGTGTCGTGATAGGATTAGTATTAAATAGAGGGGATTGACTTCTTATTTTTGCATGATCCATAATCAGATCTACTATGGTCGTGTTAAATATTCAGAAGTCATTTAACTTATTCTTTTATTTTAATATTAATAGTGGTGTTTTTTTTTACATCTCGTTATTCACATTACATCACTTTACGCTCTTTACTTACTTACGTTTTTCGTTCTTTACATTATGCTATTTACTTTCAATCATTTATATTTATGCATTTAATTTATGTCATTTACATTTCCTACAATTTGTTTTTTGTTATGAGTAGATAATATTATTAGCTTGGGTGTGAGATGAAAATGTGAGATTTTAAACCAAAGGAAGACGGTCGGTGTTTCGTAATAACAACGTTCCACTATTTCATTTTATGTTTTTTATAAAACCAATAACATTTTTGACGAGTTGATCATTTTGAAAAATGTTAATGTGTCATGGACTCAGAGATGATTAACTCGAGTGCACGTCAATTTGAATGATATAAGAAAGGGCAAATTGCATGAAAAAGTAACGTACTTTAACTTGATTCCTATTTTGGGTAACGTACTTTCAAAACTTTCGTTTTGGTGCATAAGATGTAAAGTTTTAAACATTTAAGTACCCAGGTAACTGGTTGAAGTATTAACCGGTTATCATACTGATGTGGCTAGTGATGTGGTATCCAACTCGGTATTATTTGTTAACCTAGTTAGTGACGTGGATTTTTTTAATCTAAAATTAGTCTTTTTTTAGTCTAAAATTAGTCTTCACTGGGTTACCCGGGTACTTAAATGTTTAAAACTTTACATCTTAGGTACCAAAATGGAAGTTTTGAAAGTACGTTACCCAAAATAGGAATCAAGTTAAAATACGTTACTTTTTCATGCAATTTGCCCTATAAGAAATAGACTTAAGAAAGTTACAAACAAAAAGATTTGTTATCTATATTTTCCAAATTGGTTAATTCTCGACAAGTTAGTTACTTATTGAAGTGTTAAAGTGAAGTGAACTCAGAGATGAACCATTTGGAACATATCAACTTGAATGATATGAGAGACCTCTCGAGAGAGTGATTTTATACAAAAAGATTTGTTATCCATATATTTTGAGGACTTCATTATGCATTACCACTAGTTTGATACTGCAAAAATATGTGTGGTTGAATCTAAACATCAATGCAAATGTTCAAAGTCCGAGAGGAATATTCTCAAAATAGATGACGGAACTAGTTATGACCTACTGTATGCTGTAGCATTGTTACAACATTGGTTTGCTGGAATTTGTGTTTAAGTCTCACCAAAAAGTCTTACACCCTTGTTTGCTTTGTTATTTGTTATTATAATTCAATGTTAACTCACGACAAATAAAATTTTAGAGGTGTGAAAAAGACGTAATACAAATAATAAGCAGATATAATACCAAAAAACTAAACATTGGGAGAACCACGTCACACGTGATTAGGACCACTGAACTTGAAACGGTCCTCATTTTCGAAGATTGCAATAAGTCGTAATTGAGACTAGGGACCAAATGCTTTTCTTGGATAAGAGTAATTGAACCTGCAGAATCTTTGATTGACAAACTTTTTAATAAAATGAAAATAAAATTTTTATACAAAAATAAATGAAATATAAATGTAGACTGCAAGAACTTCATAAAATCTATCTTTTTGATCAAAATTAACTGAACCTACAATTTTTTTTTTGATTAATATAATAAGTTTTAACAAAAAAAAAAAAAAAAATAGAGAAAGTTTGTTACATGAGATTACAGTTTTAATCCAACACTATACAAAATTTATAATTTGAAACAACTTATGTTTTTCTACAAAAACATTTATCAATTTATTATAAATCAGAAGAATTTAACTTATTCAAAAACTCATTATTACCGGTTTGACATCGGTATAAGTGGTTTATCCAAACACTAAAAAATGTTTATTACGAAATAAATGAATAAGCTGTTTTTATAAGCAATCCCAAACACCCTCTAGTAGTAAAATTCATTTATGGTCTCTAACACTTGTAAATATTAACATGTATAGTCCTTAAAATTCAAAAACTTTGGATTGGTGGTCCCTCATGTTTGTCAATTCCCAACGGTGTTGATCTTTATGTCTAATGGCCGTTAACGTTTTTTGTTAAGTTCAAATAATGAGGGGCATTTTAGTCATTTTCATTATTTTCTTAATTTTTAATTATAAAATTAAAAAACATATATTTTTAATTGTAAAAAAAGAAAAAGAAAAAATAACCACCACCTTTCATTAGAGACTGAAATCGAACTTTAGTCTAATTTTAAATTTAGTATGTTCTCATTATTTTTTAAAGGTTAGGAGTTATTTAACAATTGTTGAATGATTTTATGTAGAATGATTAAATGGTCAGAATGATTAAAAAACTCTCATGATATAGTACAAAATGTAATATAATTGTTTGACGATTGTTTACAATGAAATTAGGACGCTGATTGGTTAAGGGAAACCAATGATACAAAATTATTAAGAGACAATTTTTTTTTTTGATTAACCTGGATATCCAACCCGCTATGCGAGCCGACTAATCCTAGAACGATCACTTGTTTTGCAGATAACCCAGAGTCATCACATTTAAATCTCTATGGCCATAAAAAAAAATTTATTTCTCCTTAAATTTGAACTTGAGACGATACTTTGCTCGAACCAATCACACACCAAAATTCAAAAGACCATTACTTGTTGCAATATATTTTATTTTGATTAAAGGTTTTTAGAGTAGGAGCATTATCTACCCTCTGTTTGCTTCCCTTCCTACGTTTCCAACCACGCAACTGCATCTCTTTGACAGATAAACTTGTTCGGATTTCTGATTCTGTAATCCTCGAGAGAGACAATCAATGGAGGTCTTACAGAGAGCTACGGTTCCTCAATTTACTCAATTTAGTAGGCCAAAGTGGAAACCTCCTAAGCATCGATTGGTTTGTTGCTTTGGGTAAGTAATTAATCCCTTCAACTTCAACTATGGAACTTGTAAATTTCATTTTATTTATACAAATGATGAATGCTGTGTTCAGACTTCACAACTAGATTATAGGTTTGGGATACTTGTAATGGTGATCAGTAGACTAAATCAAAAAGAGAATGGCCACAAAGGGGAAATTTAACTGTGAAGCGGAGAGAGTACGATTTAGTTCTAGTTTTTGAGAGCATCTTCGTACGCAATCCAGTCTAGGAGCTACTTGCATTTCAAGAATTCATATAGTTGATTCATGTTGTTTAATGTGTGTACTTCATTTCCAAAAGTGTAAGCTTCTACATGTCTTCACATATATCATTGCTTGGCATTTCATCAAGTTAACTGGTTAATTAATTTCATGTGACAAAACCAGGTTAGAAAGTCACAATAGCATCGAGTTGCATCAGGTATCTATCATTTCCCTTTTTGCAGCTGATTTTTCTTGTCTATCTTTTTAGAATTTAGTGCTCTTTCTATACTATAGGACCGGTTGCAGTCCCTGGATGATGGATCTGAAAGAACTCAGAATGATGTATGGCGACTTTTCACGGAAGCCCAGCGGAGTGAGTCAATATGAGGACTTTCATATCAAATCTTTTTACCTTTATAATATTGCCTCACAGTGTGACATTCCATGATTATGTGTGTGGACTCCTTATATCACTTGTACACACTTCTGCAAAATATTTAACTATTCAAATGTGTTCAATACTATCTAGATATCATGTATTTAAACAAACAACGTGTCCAAGCTATTGAAGAGCTGGAGGAAATGAAGAGGGAGCAGAAATCTTTGCTTGAAAAGATAGAACAGCTAGAGGGTCAGGCACATGCTTCCAGTGAAGAAGGTAAATAGAGCAATGCAGTTTTTTAAAGTTTCTGAAGGTTTTTGTTATTTGAAACACAGTAATTGCATTTTGTTTGTTGGATTGCCAACATTATGACTGTTCTATCTGTACAAATGGATTTCTATTGGATTGAGATTGTACAAGATACAAGCTTATATAGGATTCCTGCTCTATCTATACGATAAACCAGTCAATCATAATCCATGGAATCTGACTATAACCGATGCTCTATTTGATGTAAAATACAATCTATATTATTCTCTCAATCTCTTGCTATAATGAAGGTGCAATATTGGAAGATTCTATACGTTATTGAGAGGAGGAAATCACTTTAACACTACCATCATTTGATAACTTATCAAGAAATTTGTTTGTGAATTCAGAGCTAAGTTAACTGTATCCAATACACATGAAATCTGTGACTATTACATCTCTCAGCACCTAGTTTTGTATCTTCTAAGATAAACTGTCAACTGAGAAGGAAAGATGACATGGCAGTGAAAAGGAGAAGCTAATATTAGATACATTTCAAATATTTTCTGTTACTAATAGTATTGTGATTTTTAGACTGGTACATCAAGTGTTGCTGAATCAATCATCTTAAGTTTTGATGATTGATTTATGAGGATCAATTGAGGAATCCTCATGTGTGCTTACTGACAACCTTCACATTTCTGATCTTTTATAGAAGGTTTGTGACTAAAACTCTTAAGCGTCACTAATTTTTACAAGCCAGGGGTCTTCATGGAAACAACCTCTCTGCCCCAGGTATGGTTTGCGTACATCTTACCATCCCCATACTTCCGAGTGAGATTTTCTGGGTACGTTTGGTTTCATTTGCTATTAATGGCTTGTGACCACCCAAAAACAAAAATTTGATTTTATGGCGGTATAACTTAATAGCTTATAATCAAGAATCCCTTATATATCTTGAATGTCTTGTCACCACTTTGACAGAATTCCACCTTTTTAATTTCCCATACCCTCAATGTTCCATGTGTTCTGTGTTTGAACACTTGCATTTGATATCTCTCAATTAGTTTATCAGTTCATGTCCCATTCTGTGTATATATCGATATATAGTCTTTTTTTTTTATTAACTTGGATATCCAACTTGCTATGCGAGCTGACTAATCCCAGGGCGACCACCTGCTTTGCAGATATCCCGGAGTCACTGCATTTGAACTTCCGTGGCCACAAGGGGATTTTTATTCCTCCTTGGATTCGAACCTTGGATCTCCTGGCACTTTTGACCTTTGGAGCCAAGCTCAAACCAATCAGGCACCACCCTTGTGGTTATCGATATATAGTCTTAGGGGCTGTTTGGTTGGTTTTCCATTAAGTCTTGTATGGATAAAGCTATATGTGTGAATTAATCTGTCTGAATAGATTGAAAAAGATTTTGTTTGGAAGGGTTTTTCATAGATGGAAGGAGCGTGGTTTTTAATTGGGAGGGGCGGGTTAGGAAAATACCTGGCTTTCTGCATAAAGCTCCCCCTAGAAACTTACTAAATAAGTCACTTTCTATATCATTAAGCTACTACCAAATAGTCATGTATAGTTGACCGAATAAGCAATGAGTACATTAAGCTCATTAAGCTGCTAACAGACATGCCCTTAGTTGTCAATCTAGTAATGGTTAAGCCCTAAACTGTAGAATCAAAGGTTTGGTGATTCACATCATATATTATTTTCGTTGGTTGTGTTTTAAATATGTAATTTGAATTCATATTAATCATGGAATATCAGTTGGTGAAGGTCGATGATCATCCTGAAAGTCAAGTATAATTCAGCACTGAAATTGGTTACAGGTCCAAGAAATAATATTGTCTCTGATGCTAACCCTCCTTTTTTATATTTTCTACCAGATCCATCCTCAATCAGCTCTGAATTGCTGCTTAGGATAGACTCGATGGTTCTGACCGGGATCCTTGACACTAGAGAGGCATCTGGCTTTAGAGGTCTATTGACTGATACAAAACTTAGAGTAGCTGATTATTTCTCCAACATGATGTCTAAGAGTGATTCTGAGGTTTTGGCAGCACTCCGTCACTTTTCAAACAAAAGAAAAATGTAATATTCCAAGATCAAAAGCAATTCCATGTTATCATTGAAGGATTGTGGTATAACTGTTTTGTGTATAGTAAGCACGTTTCATTGTACTTCACTTAGCTGATCGCATAATATATTCATATATCAAGGGATGTAATGTTATTTTATGAGCGCAACAGTCTGAAGTGATTGAAATGGCACAAAATTATGATTTATGAAGATCATTGATAGCTCAAAGCAAATTAAAGAAATCACCTTGTGTTAGATGATGCATCAATAATGTTTTGTGTTTTCTATGTTGTTATATGCTTCACGTTGCCTTAGTGACAGTCCTATAACCAACATAAAAGAGAAATAAATGGAGATAAATATAAGGTATACAATAAAGGATGATAAAGATGGGAGAAAACATATAAAGCTGATTTACGACATACACCTATAGTAAGGGAGAATCAAAACTTATCTGTAAGACAACAATTAAGAAGTATATGGTCATTTATGTATTAGCAGATAATATTGCATCAAAGAAAACCAATTCTGAATATGAAATCTTGTATATACTGCTTATCCCAATTGTTACTACAAAGTTTTTGTTAAGTTCAGTTAGTGCTACTTCCCCAGCACTGCACTCTTAACATTCTATCCCTTGTAAACATATGGAATTTGTGAAATCTCTACCTCACCCATCACCCCACATATTTCTGATAGGTATCAAAACTAGCTTGTGATGTTCTGATGTAAAGACTGGACAGTCCATATTAAGTGTTTTGGCTTTCGGAATATCTTCATCACATCATGTTATTTCTCACTGCAAGGTATTCTCTGTTTTACAGGAAATGTTTCCACATAATCCACATCTGTACAGAAATGGAACCAGTTGCCTCTGTTGGATCATTGGCATCATATGTGACCTCCTTATCTCATGTGCTGCAAAAACAAGGAAATTTAGTGGAAGTTATCTTACCCAAGTAAATTGAACTTGTTTATATTATGGCCAGTTCCTGTGTTTGTCTAGTTGCAATGAGATACAGTCATATTCAACCATCTATCTCTTTGCAACAAGGACGGAAGTTCCTAACTTATGATATGTGAATTAAATGAACCGTTTTTCTCCTGAACAGATATGCAAGCCTCAATCTTGAAAAGGTCAAATCTTTACGAGAAATTGAGGCAGAGGTCTTTTCATATTTTAATGGTCAATTGCACAGGAACAGGATCTGGACTGGGTGAATCTCTCTGTCTGTGAATGTGTAGGTGAACTTTTTCCATTCAATTTCATCAGCTTTGACTAAATGTACTTACAATTATTGCAGTGTTGTAAATGGCATTGGGGTTACTTTTATACAGCCTGTTTACTACTCATCCTTCTTCAGCAATGAGAAGATATATGGCTACTCAAATGATTTTGAGCGGTTAGTAAGTTTTCGTGTTACTATATTTATGTAAACTGCATGGTGCATTTGTACTTCTCGCATCCTTTGCGCACAACTCATGAGGAATGATCACATGTAGTAGTGTTTGTTTTTGAGTATGTCATATCATTTGATTATCTAGAATCAACTTTGACTAATACCAAATCCCTGGTAAGTAAAGCTGCTACCAACAGTCATAGTTCTTATTGCTTTAAAATATAGGCTATAGCCATAAATTCACTGCCTTACACTTGAATCTTTAGTGTCATCCTTGTTCATCACTTCTTATTCTTTAATTTCCTTTTAGGAATGATCAAATTCATGTCTTATCCTTGGGTTTTTTTTGAGGATTCTTTTTGCATTCTTATTGTATGAGATTGGGAGTTTATATCACTATGTGCAGTTATTCTACATCTGCAACTTCCTCGGAAGGAGAGAGGGGGGGGGGGAGTGGAAACAATTACTGAATTACCATGATTGACACAAATAATTTCTTCATGTTTTAAATGATAATTGTTCTTGCTATTTTGTTTTAGTTTTAATTTGTTGTTCGCTTGATGGTACAGATTCTCCTATTTTTCACGTGCTTCACTGGATTATATCCTGAAATCAGGAAAGCAGCCTGATGTGTTACATATACACAACTGGGAAACTTCAATTGTTGGGCCACTCTTTTGGGATGTTTTCGTAAATCAGGTGCAAATCATAAGACAGTATATTACTTTGTGCATTTGGTTACAACTGGTGAATTAGGACCATTTATTGTATACATATGCCATCTTGAAATCTGGTTACATCACCTTCAGCTAATGCAAATTTTGAGTAGTGGGGCACTTCTATTGCTTTGTTTATAAAATCTGGGAATGTCCTTAAAGAAGACCATGGAAGGTCACTAAATATTTTGACTATGTTGGCCGTCCTGAAGTCATTTTTTTGGGAAGACCCAGTACACACAAGGAGGGTGAGAATTATTCCCCCACCATTGATGCACCTTTGGTAAACCACTAGGAAACACTACAGTGTGATTTTGAGCTCAAGATCTCTAGGTTATCCTTAGTAAGCCTAATCACATGGATAACCCCAGCTAGGTGTTGTTTCATATTATTTATATCCTTTTGTTTCTGTTAAATTTATATTTAGTAGGTATATATTTGGTAAATGATCTAGGTTCATATAGGGAGTAAGACATATATGGCATTTCCTTTTTGTTTGATTTTTCCTTTAACCACGCATAAGACAAATATGGCATTTTCTTAGTTATAATAATTTAGTTATGATATTCAGTTATAGTTTTCTAAATAAGTATGACTAGGAGGATAGAGTAGCCTTCAATAAGGCAATTATGCTATTTTGCTAGTTATGATATTCTATACAAGTATGATCAGGAGAATGGATTAGTCATGCTTGATTTGATATTTGATCAGGGTTAATCGAGGGTCAAAAGAGAGATGGCTATCTCTCGAAAGCAGACCAACTTTTGTTTACATTCGTGTTTCTTTTATTTTTCATTAAAATCTGGTTGGGTTCTACTCATCTATGACTATAGGTTGGAATGTGGGCTTCCGATAGACATTATGTACACAAGGTTGATGGAGTGGACATGTGATTGTCTTCTATGGATTTGTAACAGCACAAGGCTGAATATGATTTAAGGGAAATTTAGAAAGGTTATTCATGTTTGTGAGTACTTAGGCGCTGTTTTGGTCTTTATGACTTCTGATGAGTTACAGCCAACTAGTTTTATATAAAGCACTTCATAGAGTTTGTATGATGAACCTTTTATTTATTGTTTGAATATTCAGGGACTTGCAGCTACTAGAATCCTATTGACATGCCAGAGCTTTAATTCTCAGGTAAAGTTCTGGCATTTTATTTGTATTTTACTATGATAGGGATGCCACACAATCTTTCCTGGGTGTATGACATTAATTGATTTTAATTTTACAGTGCCTTGAGCAACCTGATAAGTTGGCAATGTGTGGACTTGATCCTGCTAGACTGCATCGTCATGATCGATTGCAAGACAATAACAAACTTCATCTTGTAAATATTTTGAAGGTGATGAGTTTCTTCAGTTACGGGTTGTTTCTCAGTTGGCTCCATTAAGTATACTCAAAGATGGATCAAAACAGTTGTTGTTAATGAGTGCATATTTTGATCCCCTTAGATGGTGTTAACTGTTAACAAGTAAAACCTATTTCCTAATGCCATTGTTATGGGCATACTTGTTGAATTCCTTTGTATTATAGAACTTTAGCTTATTTGACATTTACACAATATGATCTTTTATCTTCGTAGTTTTAGATCAGTATACCTACTTCCTGCAGGCTGGAGTTGTTTATGCAAACAAAGTCATAGTAATGTCATCCATACATTCGAAAGACCAGATAATTTCTACTATGAGTCATGGATTGGAAGTTGTCTTAGGAACTCATAAGTAAGTTCCGTTTTTGTGCCTTATCATTTGTGCTTTTGGATATTTCTTTTCGGCTATCCTGTTCGGTTTACAGAAAACGTGATAGAGTTGAACTTTTGTTGGAAAATAATTTTTTGTTGCTGTTAATTTCATGCCACCTCTCACTATTATTGAAACTTCCATCTCCCATATCCTTTATTATTGACCATATGTGGGATTATGTGTGGGTTATTTCAGGGACAAGTTGCTGATTGCTCCTTTTGGATATGATGACTCAAACTGGGATCCTTCGTGCGACAAGTTTCTTCCGCAGAGCTACAGTGCAGATGATATGGGGGGAAAAGCTGTTTCCAAAGTTGCATTACAGCAGCAGCTAGGATTACCTGGAGATGTTTCATCCATTCTTGTAAGTGGTTGGTCTGTGTATAACCTTCGTTTACTGACCCCCCCCCCTCTAGTCTTAGTGCATTCACTTAACTCGCTCTCTCTATATATTTGTGTGTGTGTGTGTATACTGTTGCGTTCCCGTGAGAAATGCCATTTTTCCTGAGAAGTGTGAGAAATGTAACCTTCACATGTATCATGTGAAGGTACCATTATTTTTGCGTGAAGGCGTGTGAAGCTGACCGCCTTCACAGAGATTGGTGAAGGTACAGATTCAGGTCCCGTCGCCTTCACTTTCACAAAATATAATGTGTGTGTGTGTGTATATATATATATATAGGCGAATGATCGTGTGAAAAGAGAGTTAAGGTGAGAAATGTAAGAAGAGATCTTGACTCTTGATCACCTTTAATCTCAAACCCACCCATGAATGTCGCGCTTGATACGGGGATTGATCCGGTGCATCTCATCTCGGTTCATCTCATCCTAATGTACATCTAAGGGTGGAGATCCCTTATTACGTTTCTCACCATAACTCTCTTTCTCACCGGAACCCAACTATATATATATGTGTGTGTGCGTATATATATATATATATATGTGCATATGTATCGATATGAACATCTATTGCCTTTGATATGTGTTCATTTAAACAAATTCAAATGTCATACTAATCACTTACCAATAGGAACGCTTTGATCATTTTCTTCATTATCGGAATTCGAATTGCGAATGTAGTCCTAGGCGATTTTAACTTTCTCATTTTCATTGTTGTCGATCTGTTTTACAATAGGTTTATCCATATTGTTCGGACGATATCGAAATCAATATCATCATAGGTTGAACATCATTTGTAAATTAGAAACATGAACACGTATGAAAACCAATTTCAATATTACATCATGATCAATTAGTGAGATTTTTCAGATTTGTAATTCCCAATTAATTATTTGGAAGTTACATAAATGGAAAATTACCTAATTACCCTTGTAGTTAATATATGAGTTACATTTGAACCTAAAGAAAAGATGGAATATGATTGGTTGAGCTTGGTTAACAAAGTTAACACAAAATTCTTGGTTAACATTTGAACCAAGCTCTCTCTCTCTATATATATATATCTTAACAGATGGATCTTAGGGATATTTTAAATCATCCTCACTTTGTTTGAAACTATATGTTGAGGATTCCAAATAAATTCTTGATCCTCTTTGAGTTCTCCTGTTGATGGGTATTAAAAGATAATTACTATTTAACCACATTTTAGTGGCGTAAGAGTTGAACTATCATTAAATCTTCCATTACTATATCTTGGCGCTTAATTGATGATATAACATTCACTTGCATTATCTTCTTCCAGCAAAACAAATCATCATGCATATTTAAGATGGCACATATTATTAGGTTGGATGCATATTTTCAGAAGATTCAGATGTTGATCTGGAGATCCTTAAATCACTTGCTTGGGATTCTTCCAGGAGGGGTGTTCAGGTAATTTACTCAAACATCTTGATCATATAGAACTTTCCAAAGCTGAACTATCATATGATCATACATTTACTAGAAGGTATCCTCTCCTGTGAAGAGCTTTGGTCTTCCATTTCTTTTCTAATTCTGATAAGTTCATATGAATTTGACTTGTTTCTGGGCTGGGGTTGTTTGCAGTTTATCTTTGTGGGTGTTAGCAATGTTTCTGGCGTGAACAGCGAAATGAAATCCTTCCAGGATGGTCTCAAGGTAATGAATAGAAATGACAGAATTCCATCATATAAAAATATATATGTAGAGTTGGGTTCCGGTGAGAATGAAAGTAATGGTGAGAACGGTGAGAAGGGATCTCCACCCTTGGATCAATCCTAATTGAAGAGAAACACATGAGATACACCGGATCAATTCCCTTCTAAAGCAGAATTCATGGATTGGTTTGAGATTAATCAAGAGTCCAAATCACTTCTTACCTTAACTCCTATTCTCACACGATTCTTAGTCTATATATAGGGGGGGGGGGGGTTCTTGTGAGAACTCACAATTTTGTGAGAAACAGTGCACCGTCTGTTATTTTATATGATTTTTTTTCATCTAAGGCTGTGATTTAGGATACTGATTTAACATATATTTATTTCACTAGTATTTGGTTCACATTGTGAAACTTTTTGACGTGTTTGTTAAAAATTTACATGTAAAAAGGTATCACATTGTGAAGTGAATACATATGAAGTAAACACATGTGAAACAAATATATGTTAGTCAATACATTAAATATTAGCCTTGGATTTAAAAAAATCATGTAACACAATACCTTAAGGTAAAAGTTCTCAACGGTTATCACAACATACATATATATATGTATGTATGCATGTACGTACGTATGTATGTATGTCCATACGTACATATGTATGTATGTATTTTTTGCACTTGATTTCTTTCGCAGCATGCCAGATCTGTTAGACTTCATCTTGAGCCTACATTAAGTAGTTTGAATAAGATCTTGAAGGATAGATGTTGATAGAAAAATGTCATCCCTATAACATATTCAACTTTATTTAATTGTGTCGGTGGTTCACTTGTTTAATTCAACTAAATCTTTATTGTGCGTCATAGCTGTTAAAATCACGTCTGTTGTTGAGATTGCTGGTGTAAATATGGTCTCATTGTGGTCTTGGTTCAACGTCATCCAGTTTTCTCACACATCTTGTTGCACAATTATCTTCCAACCGGACACAAGATTATATGCTACATTTACTGTGGCAGTAAAAATAATTTCAACAAGATTCACTTGAAATACTGGGCTACTCATAATTGCTCTCTTCTGTTTTCTTCAGGATAGAAATGTGAGGTTTCTCGACAAGTATGATGAATCTCTCTCACATTTGATCTTTGCTGGCTCTGATATTATCTTGTGCACTTTCAACGATCCAATGGTCCAAGTACCGGTATGTCACATTGATTCCATTTATTTAATAATCTTCTCTTTCTTGTATGGTTCATTGTATCGATTGTGCTTCAATGTTTGTTTGTTCGTGTAGTTCAAAGATCTATTTACTGATATGTTATTACCGTTAATGTAGCTCAAGGCCATAAAGTATGGAGCTGTTCCAGTCCCCTTGAATGTTGCTGACAACAAATTAAGGTAAAACGACAAACTTATTAAGGCACTGTTTGGCAAAAATAAGCTAGCTTATTTTTTGGATACACATAAGCTAGCTTATTGAAACGCTACTTGGAGTAGCGTTTTGATAGCTTATTGTCACTTTAGTCTGGTTATAACCCTCATTATTACTATTAAATATAAATAAATATTAATAAAATTTAAATATTACTAATATTAATTATTAATTGAAAATTAATGATTAATTAATTTTAATTATACATTATACATTA